AGACGTCGAATAGACACCAAAATTTCACCATTGTTTAATAAGAGTTACAGTCCCACGGCAATAAATCTACAGCTGCTAATCAGTTTTGATGAAAAGAAGGAAAGATCCTCTAAGGAAGGATCCTCGAGAGGACTTTCGGCTCACCAGTGCTGTTATACCACACAGACACTATACGTTTACAAAAATAAGTATTTTCTGCAGGATTCGATCCTGGTTTCAAAGATACGGCAGCTAGCATCGCTAACGTTTATACTGATTTAGACAGCCCTGTATGAATGAATGACATACACATCTTATTTTTTAAAGAACACATTATATATCTTGACCAAAGAATTTCTTGACAGAGAAAGCTAAGTTAGCTCAAAATATGTGCTCGTTCTTTAATAAAAGTCTACATTTTATTACGCATTTGTACTTGAGGAAATCAGTGACAGCTAGAGAAGAGTAATAAGGGAGATGCAGAAGTGTATGCGTCACTTGTAGGATATAGTCTTCTTTGCTAATACATACACTGTAACTAGATCTATTTAAAAATCTATATTGCGATTTCTCGCAAACTTTCGAAGGTGTATAGAATAGGCGGAGGGTGTAAAATACGCTTTTATTGAACAGAATAGTTTACAAACGGCACGGACTTGTGGTGTCACCAACCAACCAACCACCAGCCACCTGTGTTGAGAAACTGAAAAGCTAATCTAACAAGCAGAAAGTTTTAAAATGCCACGGGATTGTGGTGTCACCAACCAACCAACCAACAACTACCTGTGGTGAGGAGCTGAAAATAATAATCTGTCAACTAAATTCAAAGGCAAATAGTAGTAAACAATTCGATTTAACCTTAATTAAGACACAATAACTTTAATTAAAACACAATAATCGATTTCACCTAGCAGAAATCACTAATTCTTAATTATACGCAGTACGCTGAAGAGCGTCGGACGCAATACGATATCCTCTCTAATGACTATTTGAAAATTCATTAATTAAAGAAGTCAAACATTACTCAAACCTTAACCATTAAAGTTCTCCTAATTCTCGCTAACGCTCCAGGACACGGTGTTGAAGCCCTCACAACATTGCATCCAAATATAGAGATTTATCAACCACAAAGGTCATTCCAAAAAACTACTGATTCAATACTCATTGCTCCATTTTCAAACAAGTAAAGTTATTTTATAATCACCTTGTATAAAAAAATATCTACTTTATTGCAATTTTTCCATTTATTCATCCATAAGTTAAGCACACTGTAAAAACAGTACGTTGCACATATTAACACATACATTACTTTTGCGTGTTTGCTTTAGAATAAACCTTTTTTTTTCTTTTACTTATTTATTTACTTTTGATAGCTGGAACATTTGTTGACAGTTATGTAGCCTTTCATTTTGTTTACTCATTTTGTTTCACTTTGCAGTCCGTTTATTCATAATGTCAGTTTATCTTCTGTTTTCCATTAATTAATTAATGTAATACAAAATCTTGAATTTTACGAACTACAATTCCTCTAAAATGTAACGAGAACATTAATTTACTAAACTCAATTTTCGTAAAATTCAGTGACAGCATACTGCAAACAAGATCATGATTTTTAATTTTGGAATACTTAAGCTAAAACATAATCATTTGTATTAATCTCTTAAGGATATAGATTGACAAATATTTTACATATTATATTAACATTAGTATTTTGAAGACGTCTAACCATGTACGTTTTCATTTAAATAATTTTACTGTAAGGAATAACTCTTTCTGGAACTCTTTTAAAACTCAGTTAATAAAATTCTAAAAAAATTATCTTCTACTTATTTATTCTAACCAAATTATTTTCAAACTAATTATCAAATTACAGATTTCCTAACGTTTTGGGAACCAATTCTGGTTTAATAATTAATAAAAATTCTACTTTAAAAGACAAAAACTTCAAATACATCAGTTTTAACTCAAAGAAAGCGTGTAAATACCACAAGGCCGTATGAAGCACTAAACAAAAAGTCCAGAATTTTGCCAGTTATTAAAGCCCAATTGGGCTTGTCTCATGCACATCTTCATTAAACACATTCCTACTGTGTCTCTTTCTATCTGGCAAACTGGCAACTGATGATGTCTAACAACAGTAGTACTGTTTCAATAACACAAGTGAGAGGATGTCCACAGGGGTCCTGTGAAGGGCCTCTGCTATGGAACCTCACCTTTAATAAAGTCTTAGAGGCAAGGTGACCACAACATACTGTGATAGTTGCATACGCGGACGACGCGGCATTACTGGTCAGAGGTCATTTACTGGTCACACGTGCTGAGCTTGAAGCCCATGGCAGTGAGTCATGCACTATCTTTGCCAACCTCTGCGAAGAGCTAAAACTCCAAATATCCACCACAAAGTCCACTGCTATCATCTTTCCAAGAAAGGGTACAAATCCAACACGTAGCCCATGTATCAAACTACAAGGCCGGAATATTAAAGTCGTAAAAACTTTAAGATACCTTGGAGTAATATGGGACCCAGGTCTGACTTGGCTTCCGCATATCCAGGCACAAAAGATTAAAACATCTGCAATTGCCAGGAGGTCACGACAATTCCAAGGCCGGAAATGGGTACGGAATCCCCACATTCAAAAGGTACTTTACAAAACTGTAGCTGAGAAGGTGGCACTCTATGCGGCAGCTATATGGGCACAACCCATGACCGCACGCAAGGTTAAGCAACTCCTATCACTACAGCGCCCATTCGCCCTAGGTTTATGCAGAGCCTACCGCACCACTGCAACTTATGCAGCACTCACCTTGGCAAGCATCATGCCACTTCATATCCAAGCGGAGCTAGAGGCCACATATCCACTATACTAAAATAATACATCTACAGAAAGACGCAACCTTTGCAGGCACCTTACATAGCCCTGAAAGTTACGAACATGCATGTACTCCTCTCCACACCCACCCAGCACACAAGGGACTTGGCATTCACTATCCTCAAACTTCCACGACATCAACCAGAAGGAAACCCTAATATGCACACGTTCTACACAGATGGCTGGAAAACTGCTGAGGGTGTAGGTAGTGCCTTTATATACTACAGGCAAGGCCATGCTGCACACCATTGGAAAGGGCACCTCAATCCAAATAATAGCATTTTTCAAGCAGAAGTAGTTGCCATAACAGCTGCCATTGAATACGTGGCGCTCAACAACATCACACATGTGCAGCTTTATACAGACAGTATGTCGACACTGCTTGCTCTTGACAAACATAGTCACGCCTCCCCGCTGATCATACGACTGCAGCATATCCTAACAGATAATCGCCACGCACATGTTGACCTAGTATGGATTAAAGCCCATGCAAGTAACATGGGTAATGAGACAGCGGATGAACTCGCTAAGGAGGCTGCTTCGAACCAAAATGCCAGACCGATATCAGTAGCAGCACCACCATCTTTCCTTAAAAGTCAACTGCGAAATGCCGCTACCCAGTGGTGGCAAAGAGAATGGGATCAGGGCGACACGGGAAGGAGAGCGCATAGCTTCTTCCCAAAAGTAACCACGGAGCGCCTTATGGCAATTGCACCCCTTACCAACTTCATTACTGGTCATGATCTCTTCCCGGATTACTTCTACAGCCGCACCATCTCAACCACAGATCGCTGTGTTTGCGGGGGAGAGGGGTCACCGGACCATTATATCTTTCAGTGCCCACTCACGGAACAGTTCAACTTCCCGGTACCAGCCAATATCTCAGCATTTCACAAGTTCCTAGCCAAAAACAGAGCGGCCATAAATAAAATCTGCAAAGTAATAACCACCATTGCAGCATATGGCCAGGACCTCTGTCAACCAGAGTAATAGGGCTTATATGCATTACTTGCACTGACATATGCACTCTTATGCTCTACCATCTAATCTCTGACTGCATAGGGAGCAGAAGAAAATTGAACACCAATTTTAGGTGTTTGGTTTTCTTCTTTTGTTATAACCTATTAAGCGTTTTTTTTTTTTTTTTTTTTTTTTTTTAACCGTGCCTGTATGTTAATTCAAATGTACTTCAAATGCCAGATGTTGAACAGTTGCCCCTGTATGGCCATGTATCCACACTTATAATTATTAACTCCAGGGAAGGACGCGAGGATGCCTGTTAACCTCTGTTAATCTTCAGGCGTCCCCGTCCTCCGTCACCTGTCACCTGTCTCTTTCTGAACGACAAAAAAATCTGCTTTTTTTTCGCCTTAACGTTAGGATAAATATATAAGTCACTTTAAAACATAACCTTTTTATCTTTCAACTTAAACCTATTTGAATGTTTATTTCTAAATAAACTGAAATAATAATTTTTGTTATTATTATGTCTAAAAAACGAGGATATTATAATAGAGAATCCTTTTTATGTTCTAAAAACAATAATTTTACTTTATAAAAATAATAATATTTGTTTCAAAATTTGTACTTCATACTAAGCTGTGTGTCTTCCTTCTTTCATAACATCAAACAGAAAAAATATTGTTTCTATTAAATTCATAAAGTTGCTGAAATTTCTTTTCAGTAAAACGTACTTAAAGATATTGAAAAGTAAAGTATTTGCCAATTATTCTTCATATCTCTTAACTAAAAAAAAATTATATTTTAAACTGTACTGAATTATTAACCACTATTTCTGTCTCAGATCATGCAATATCAAACAAAGCATTTGCTGTGTGAAACATTATCACATAAATATAAGAAACATTTTATTAACAAAGCAAACATTTATTTTTATCATTATGAAAATAAGATAACCAGAGAATGCCATTTTCTAAATCAAATTTTGAAAGACATTTCATATGCTTAAAATAATATCTGTAAGCTCCGGAGCTAATTTAAGATGTCCATAAACATATACGTAATGTATAATTAAAGTTTAACTATCTCGTACGTATTTGATATTCTCGTACGTATTCTTCAAGTTTAAAATGATGTAAGGAAATATAATGGTGACAGTGGTAGATATGAAACACAGTAAAAAAAGTCTAATTCATTCATAAATACTGAGTTCATTTAATGTAAATACATACAATCAAAATTTTACAAAATGAAATAAAATACATTTATATTATAACTTTAAAATAAACATAAAAGTACCAGATAAAAGCATATTATAGCATAAATATATAAGATAAAACTTTTCTGTAACAGAAAATTTTATTCGGAGTAGTAAAAAATATTGATTCTAAAGAAGATACCAAATTAAAAAATAATGAATGCTTTGAAAAGTAATGCTTGATACTTCTGTCTAACGACTCATGAACATGAAGATGAAATAATGGCAGTTAAATACTTATCACAGAATTTAAAACAATACTGTGATAAAATCTTTGACTAAAATTGCTCCATATATATATATATATATAAATGCAGTAAGTCCTTCAATCTGTCGCAGACTTAATGCACCATTTCACTAGACGATATATTCCAATTCCAAAAAGGATAACAACTATGGCAGAAAAAATTCCTACAAGCCATTTTGTTGGAGTTGAGAGTACTGAAACATAAAAATATGTAAATTATATTTCAAATATTTGATTATATGTTTTTAATGAACACTGAATTATAATTTACTTATTCTTTTTTTTTTTTTTTTTTTTTTTTTTTTTTTTTTTTTTTTTTTATGCGTAATCATTTCCTAGAAAAATAATTAGCCAGAATAAGTGCTGCGATATTATAAAAACATTTATAACGGCATAGCAGCAAAGATTTTATGCAAGTCACTTTCATTAGACATGTCCAAAAAATAAGAATCACAAGAACACTTGTATACTAAGCAAGATAAGTCTTATGATTCTTATTATTATTTCATATGTGTATACAAAGAAAATTCAAAGGGTTGCCTAGAAGCACTTCACAGTGGTCCAAGATATCACTAGGAAATTTTTCTCTTTAGATGTCTGACGCTTGTTAACTGACAACTGACGTGAAACTAGATAAAAGTAATTTATTCCTGATTTCAAATTAGAAACTGAAGTAGTAATTCTCCCTCTCGTATATTGCTAGTTAAATTATTTTTAACTGCTGAACTAGTTAATTTTGTCTGAAAATACTTCTCTGCTCAAAACCATAGCTCAAAATGCTTATAGGGCCATTCTGTTACAAAAATAAAAAGTTATTATTTCCTAAATAACATCTGTCGGAGCGCTACTGGCATTTCTAAAATCATCAATAGAATTTGTACAGTGGCCACCGATTACTTTAGATAATTTTAATTGTCTTAATGACATATAATTATTTTCACACGTGAGGCATTCCCTCACATTCTTTGATTTTCCTCACGTGACGCATTCCCCATATTACTTGAAAGTGGGGAATAAAGTCATAACAGAAAGAGTTATACTTTACTCAGCTTCTCTTCGAGTGCAGCATCTTACTAAGTACATGAAAAAATAGTTGACAGCTATGCAACGACCTCAGCTATTTTTAATATGCAGAGCCTATCGAAACTCACAAACTTCAGCCTTTAGAGTATTATCGGGAATTCCCTTCTTAGATCTTACAGTAGTAAAGGAAGCTACAACTGCAAGAATCACCAGGTTATAATGTGCTCCAAAACTTTGGGATGAAATGCATTTCACTGTAAATTATGAACCGGAAAGACGTGCCATACTGGGACATCCAACGTAGATAGATCTGACAAAGAATATATATTTTGATCATATACTTGCCTCACACTATAAACCTGTTATGCACATAGACGGTTCACGCACGGAGTTAGGAACCGGAAGTACTGACTACGTTTTACTAAACTCTCAGCCACTAAAACACTTGGACCAAACGACTGAATATATGAACAAAACGGTCTTTCAAGCTGAGCTGACAGCCCTGAAGGCAGCCATCAAACTTAACTACGAACCGAATAAACGATAGTGGAATGACCTTTAGCGATTCCGCCTCCAGCCTTGAGGCAATACAAGACCAAAATGGAAGAAACTAAATAGTGACTAACATAAGACTTCTGTTAACAAACTTACCATTGCACCAAAGACCATTTCTCTGCTGGGGTGCCAACACTCGACAAAACTATCAGTGCCTTACCTAGACACTGATAGTCACATCGGCAAAACTAAAAAAAAAATTGGGAGAACAGATGACCTGAGTTCATAACAAGATGCTGAACTTTTAAGTTTAACCCAAAAATGAACATTAAACTTAACAGTCGAAACTGCTTTACAACTCAATGTTTAATGGGACTCGGTCTCTTCCCGAGTTATCTTGAAGACTCTATCCATACCTCGAATAACTGCAACTGCGTTGAAGTATTCTGTCTACGAGAAGAACAGATCCCGCCACAGTGTCTGGCGGATGGCGGTCGCTATAGCAACAGGGTTAGGATATTTCAAAGAGGAGCGAACCAAGGGTTGTTTTATCGTTATTTTATTTTTGGCGACTGTTGGCTGAGGGGAAAAGAGTTTATCATTCGTCTTCAAGACACCCCTATGGGAAATGGGGCAAGGCTCGTTTCTAAGGTAACAGAGAGCTGCAGACTAACTGGCGAGAGCTTTTCTTATGATAGACATACCAGGGCATACCGATCATTTCCTGTTTCACTGCAGAAATACTCTTCAAACACATCTAAAAATGCCAGGTGAAAATAACTGGTACATATGGACTGAAAAACGTATTAGAAAACTAATCCGCGCTAACAGGCTGTCACAGACCATAAGATATTGTGTAAAACTGTATGTATATGTGGCTTTGTAACATTTTGTAGAATTGTTAAAAATGCTGTTTTGTTTGTTGGCTGTAACTGCGGATAGCACTAGCAGGTATCAGATAGTGCCTCCCAAGATGTACACCTGGAGACTTATCAAGTCCTAAGGTCCATGGTCATGTTGGTAGTGTTTCCGTGATGTTCTTCCTGAAAACTGGGGTGGAAGTGGAAGTTAGGAGTTAACATAATTTTGCTATGAATGAGCTGTAGATGAATATATATAATATAATATAAGCATGAAAATATTCTCAAATAAATAGATTATTGGGTAAACGCCTTTTTTAAAAGCAAATTTTAAGAGAAAACTAAGATATTTACTTAATAATTACTAAACATTTATCACATTAATATTTAATTTTTAAATTTCTTATTAAAGTTTAATTTTTATCTAATTATTTATTACATTAATAATCACCAAAAATTATATTTTTCATTAATTATCACTTCAAAAACTAATGAAAATTACACTGATATGCTTTAAGACCAGTTCAATAAAATGAAATGTTTGTATATTCAATCGAGAATAATGCAAACATTAAAGCAGCATAATATCTTCGATTAATTTTGAAATTTTGAGATTGTAGCCTAAAACTAAACCTACCTCCCCACTGATCGGAAACAATTCCCACACGGTTACCGCTTCCGCCAGCAAATCTGTAATAAAATGAAATAATATTCATATCAAATCGGAATTTAAAAAATGAATTAATTAAAGTTAATGACAAAACGCACTTACACCGCTACGCCTTTTGGACTGCCGGAAACAAATGCTATCAGATATATAGTAATCAGACCTAAACAAGGAATTGTCCCAGAAGTCTTTAAGTGGTGTTCAAGGCTGTTCATATTCCAAGTAAATCCTTTTCCTGTTTAAAAAATTTTTTTCAAAGAAGGAAAAAAACAATATTGAATAGCATTATACTTTTATACAATATAAACATAAACACCAAAGCAAATCAGTAAAATTTCAAAACTGGGTAAAGGAAATAAGCATATATTTAAGGAAATAGTAATGCTAAGAGGAAAAAACAGACATCTGCTGAAAAGCAGAGAACAGTGTAAAAATTCTTAATGTCTATTTATTAATTTTCTAAATTTCTATAGGATGTTAGGTTGATGTTTTATAACTCACCGTGCAAAATTTTCTGAAACTGAAAATTTTTCAAGTTGTAAATGAATGACGTGTCAGAGAAGAGAGTGGCTTACAGACCAATGATTCTATATCTTTGTCAGAAAGGCCATATTGCAAGAGATATTCATCAGGACATACAGCAGACGTTAGGAAATAAAGCCTAACGCAGCCGTTAAACGATGCAATCGCAAATGTTAAAAAATGGGTCTCTGATTCCAAATGTAAACAACAAAGCCTTTTGGATGTGAACAACGGGAAGGGTTTTTTGTGAAGCAAAGCAGAATAGTAGTAACACAGTAAAGATCAACACTGTGCTGGACATGATGATGGATGATCCCCGAATGATCATGAAAACAGTATCTCAGCCAAACGTTTGCGACACATCATCTTTCAAAAACTGGCTATAAACATAGTGTCGTCTCGATGAGTCTCCAGAAAATTTATCCCAAAATAAAAATGATAACAAGGATTATTTCTGCAGTCAAATCTTCTTTTGATGGAATTCTGACGTAATATACCTCAGGAAGCGCTAAGTAATGCAAAACGAGACGTGTGTCCACCATTTAAATCTGAAACAGGAAACCAAAAGCGACAATGGCGCCACTTCTCAGCACAACCGCCCAAAAAATTCAAATCGGTTGCGGCGTAACTGAGTAACTGAGTGGAGTACTCAAACTGAGATAATGTAAAGGAGAAGACGCTAAGGAAAGTTAAGATAGGAATTATCCTGCATCAAAACAATGTTCCTTCTCACTGTTCCGCAATCTCACAAGCAGTTTTGGTCGATTGTGGCTTCATTTCACTTTTCCATCCACATTATCCCTTTGATCAGTTCCAGTCACATTTCATCTGTTCACTTCGATGACGTTACTTCCACATGAATGATGAGGTCACTGATGCAATCGTTCAGTGTTGTAGGATTCAGGAATCGGGAAAAATTCTTCTATAAAATGACATAGAGAAATCATATTGAGAAAGTGCAACTCAAACAAACTCTCCTTTCTTAAATTCAATGTAAATCAAATTTTTCACTCTTCCCTCGAAATGAGATTTAAGTTATTTATTACAAATAAGATCCCTTGAAAATTTCGTTGATTGTTAAATAAACTGTAGTAAAGGAAAATCCAGAGTGCAAAAATGCCTATTCAATCAGTAAAGATATAATCTTTACCTGCCAGAATGTCTAAACCAGTGTAGTTATGGAAGTGAATACATAAAACTAGAATATAAAGATGCAGCTATAAACTGGCTTGTCACAGTAAAAATGTGGACTTTTCTAACGGAGAGAAAATAATATGAAATCAAGTTTCTTTCTCTGATAATTTGATGAGTGCTTAAAATATGCTATATACATGTGTTTCAATTTTAAGTTGGTATTGTCATTTTCAATAAAACCACTTTTTCATTTGGACTACAGTTAAGGTTTCGCTATTGCCAGTCATAGTAGGCTAATGATCCAGTAGGAGATTAACGTAGTCTAGGAAATTTTCTGCAGTCCGCTTTATTGACCAGAAAAGATTCTGATAGATAATCATGTATTCCGATTTCTACAGCCCTACTTGCTAGAAACATAGTTTCGAAATGTGGACTGGGTCAAAGCAAGTGTTGTGGACATTTTTTTGCATTGAAAGCACCTTTTGTGAAGAGAGTTTTGAGAATTTAGTTCCAAGATGGCAGACTGTTATTGACAATTGTTTTGTGTGATTGAAACATTCAGTAGTTTCTGTTACTAACCTTTTCCATTTGCCAAAAGACTTTCTTTGCCCTGTTCCTATTTATCTCCTTTTGTATATATTTATGCTATTTAACTTTCTTTTACTTGGATATAATATTAATATTGTTTCATTTAATCTACATACGGATGAATCCTGAAATCGCAATCATCTAAAAGAACCGTGAAAAACAGTGAAATTTTTTTAACGGATTTTGGAAACTTTAGTGTGAATTCTTCCGTGAAGCTTATCGTTGCATAAAATTCAAAGTAAATATGTTTAGAAGTGGATAGAATTCAAACAGTGTCGCCTTATAGAATTCAAAGAACATGTCTATACTTTGTCATCGATCGATATTAGTACTGTTATTTAATTACATTCTTAGAAGTGCAGTTCGCTGTTAGAAGTGCTCGTCTTAAAGAAACAGTAATTATAAAAGTGTTCATTGGATATTCGAACACCAAAACAAGAGGCTGACTCAAATATATGAACTGTGTGAATATTTATACATTTACAAATTGCACAGTGACACTAAAAGACATTTCTGCGTTTTCATAAATTATGCAAATAAAATCTCAAACTACTTTTCACTTCTGAAAGCACCAAAAAGACTTTAAGAAAATATTGCTAAAAACTGTTAGTTTAAACTAATTAACTGTTTAATTAGCAAATGTCTGTTAATTCACTAACAGGTGATAAAAGCATGTATTGCAAATGCTTTCCAAGATGGTAGATTTAGATGTAATAATTTATCTCAATTATTGTAATTGTGAGATTGATTCTTACGACACAAATCTTCAAACTGATGTATCTTCTCAAAGAGGGTCGCCTTACTTATATAACTTTTGAATTAATAGGTATTTACAATAAAAGTTTATTTATACCTTTTTTTTTGTTTATAAAAAGGTACTTACAGGCACTAAAGAAGTTCATATATATATATTTCTTCTTTAATAAAGACTCTAAATTTCTCTTATATTTTCCTTTAAGAAAAACGAAATAAAAAAAACCTAGATAAAAGCAAAATTTTCAAAAAAAAAAAAAAAAATCTTTTTTCAAGTCTGAAATCATTCAGATTTTATATTACGTCATAAGGAGCTTTTTTTAACGTTTTGTGTGTTACCTTTATTTATTAAATATCATGTTCTTCGCTCTTAAATCATAAAATCCGATTCAACAACAATATCACAAAATAATTTTAAAAGGAGCATATCTTTAGAATTGCCGATACACAGTCTCGGCGAGATGGAGATAAAAATATTTTTTTTTCCGTACAGTGTTGTCATTGCTCGCTTTGAAATCGTTGTTTGTTAATCCAAAATTCCTTAAAGTTTTACAAAATATGAATTAAATAATCAAACAATTTCCGAATTCCAAATTTGGGCTTCCAGATAGATGCCCATATTCGAGTGGAAGACTAAAATCTGATGTCTCTAGGTACCGTTATTTTCACAATATACATACATTCATGCAGATTCTTCATTATTTAATTTTTTTAATATAACACATAGCTATAATATTTGGTGGCAACACTTTGAAAAGTGAAACGTCGTTTATAGTGAACCAACGAAAAATACCAAAATGAAATTAATAGGCCGTCTGGGCAAACTGATCCCTTTGGGCTAAAAATGAAAGTAAAAAATAAAATCTAAGAATGTATAAGGAATGAGGAATCAAAACGGTGTGAGGCAGAATTAACATTTATATATACGTGTTTAAAAGTATACCTTATTGGAAATCATATATTGTTGCAAACATTCCTACAAAAATGCTTGTTATTGAAATATTTTCCTTTGTTGCGAAAATAATTGATTTTCTTATTAAAAGTCTTAAGATCTTCTTACCTATTATTAAAATGTCTAAAGTTTGCCCTCAAAATTAAAAGCAAAAAAAATTGTCAGCTGAATATTTCAAATTGTTGCCGAATACCTAGAAACGTTCGCTATTAAAGATTTCAAAAAAATTTTTAAAAAAATTTAAATTTTAAAAATACATAAAAATATTTGAAATTTTAACTATGTAGTTTCATCTTCTTAGGCTAGTTCCATTTAACACCCAAAACAATTTTAAGATTAGCAGTAAAAATTCGCCTTCTACTTTCAAAACTAATCCTTCAAGAATTAAAAATATAGAGCATAAAATTATGCTTTTAAAAATACTAATACCAAATGGCAGAAAAAAGAAATCTTTACGGCATTATTTCACCATATATTACAACCATATAGAAACTTGGGCATCTATTTAAAATAATACTATTTTATTATTCAAGATATAACTTTACATTTATTTCAGTGGATCGCTTGCGAAAGAGGCATGAAATAAATATTTCTCTCAAGCAAAATATTTAGAGGGAAGAAAGAGGGGGAGTAAACTAAAACAACGTAATTTGCAACCTGACAACAGTAAATAGTCTCTTTATGGCATTTAATTTTAAAAAGTATTCAGTAAAGGTTTGTAACTCAAATAATGAGCAAGTTTTTTATTTGCTCGTAATTTATTTAGATTTTTTTATGTCTCTAATTCAAAAATTAGATACAAATTTCATATATTATTCTAGAAATAATACATTTTTTTTTCTAATTTTTAATGGCAAGATCTCCTTTGAGATGTTGATTATAATCTGAGTTTTTTAAAATACTAGGCATTTTTTACTAACATAAAGCAATAATATTACAAAAATGTAAGCTATACTTTACTATACATGCATATATACACCAACACAGACATATATATATATACAAATTGTACATATATATGTATATATGTATATTTCACTGATAGTTTGTAATAAATGTAGAATTTTAATAACAAAGTTTAAATGCCTGTCTATTTTGCTACAAAAATTCTTAAGCCGGTTATAGCCCGCTCTTTTATTTGCCTAAATTAACTTAATAATTCAAAAAATATATTCTTTATCTTTATGTGTTATTTAACTAAAATTTAAAAATAAGAATGTTAGCCAATAACAGCAGTTTTGCTGGGTTTGAAATCAAGCGACTGGGATAACTGAATTGCAGCTCTGCTGAACAGCTTTATGGAGATTAGTGTGAAAACAGCAGTTCTTACCAAACAGTTGAATAATTAGTAAAACATTCTGCATAACTTTCGTTTAATGATCAATGATTATTAAAATTTAAAAAACACTTTTTAATAAAAATAATTTGAATCGAGAAATTTTGAAATCAAATCTTTTGAAGACCTCAAAAACAATTTATATCAGTTAATATTATTTATATTACACCACACTTCTTATAATCTTAGAGTTATTTTAAAAGATTTCAATCTTCAAATTTCGTTTCATTTTTTCATCTCAGAATTTTTTAAAAGGGGTCAATTCCTTACATTTTTCCAGTTTTTTTCTTCATTTGTCATTTGACAGTCATTCATCTTGTACTGTTCCTATTTGTGAACCATAAACATATTGCAAATAACGAGCTAAAAAGCAGGTTCCGTTTAGATTTTATTAAATGAATGTAAATGAGAATTGAAAATTCAAACTCATTTGTTCCTATATTTGTTTGCATATGATTATAACAATCCACTGATGATTCATTGCATATTTTAAAAACAAACACTGATTTGCAACTTAAATTATTCATCATTAACAGTAGTCTCAAACTTAGGCCTGCTGGTAACACGCGGCCTTCAAAGCAATTTTATGCGACCCGTGAAGACATTCCAATTATGAATTTGTTGTAAATATAGTGTTACAAAGCCCTCAAAATCCTAATTATGTTAAGTCCGAGTTTTCATTATATTCATTACCATTAAAAACTAACTTGAATAACGCATTAGAAAATGTATATATACAGCTAATTTACAATGTATTATTATAAATTTTTTCCAAAAATTTGAAGATTCTGATTTTACTATCTTTTATTCGTACTGGTCAAAACATAAATAAGTTCAATTACGAATTTTTTTCACTTAGAAAAATTCAGGGATACATTTATATGTGAACAATTTTTTGTCACACTAAAAGTTAATAAGAAAATAATCTATGTACAGTAGAGCATCTACGATCCGTCATGAAGATAATTTCTGCTAATTTCTGTACAGGGATACAAACTTTAACAAAATCGAAAAGCAATCAAACTTCAAACTGCAGTAAGAAGTAAAAGAAATTTATAATTATTTACACACAAACATATGCTTTTTTATTACGCATCGAGGAAGAATTTAAGAAATAAGGAGAAAGAAGCTAAGCTGCCATTTTTTATTCTCAAGTTTTGTCCCACTTGGAAATTTTCTCTGAAATTTTTCGTAATTTATCTGATTTTAAATTAAAATACGTTATTTTATGATTAATTAGTCTTTTGAAAGGCTCTTATATCGTTAACAAAGAGAGTTTTCAGTGACTACGGAAGTGCCATTAAGAACTAAGATTCTGACGTCATTATTATGACGCTGATTATTATTCATTATAAGCAGTTATAAGAATAAATAAATATTTTCTGACATAAAATCAAAACAAAAGTTTTAATGCAGAAACCTAGCAATGGGACCATAAATTATATACAATTAAAGTACGTTTGATGAATACGATATAGTAGGAAAAATAGGAAAATTATTTTATCATGCATATGATATAAATATGGTAAAAGTAAATAAAGAAATATAAATTTTGCTGAATATTCCTACCGGTAATTCGTATCCCGTATAAATAGTACACAAAGTCCATGCATTTCAGCTCCTTCCAACATGACTGACAGTTACAAACGATTTTTCTACGACGCTGTGAGGAACTTTACTCGAAGTTAAAAATAGATCTACGTCATTTCTTTTTCCTGTTATTATAATGATTTTCTTCTTTTTCCTATGCAAAAGAAACGGCTTAATTGTTTAAATGAACTTGATTATATGCCATGAGATAAAGATTTAAAACTTTCAGAAAAAGCAGAATTTTCGATTTTTTTTTTTTTTTTTTTTTTTTTTTTTACCTTTGACGCAGAGTGCTAGGAAATGAACTAGATATCAAGGACGTCGTCTATTTTGAGGCAAAGGTACAGGCATTTGTTTTAAACACCAAAGGGTAGACACATTTAAAAGAATGTGTAAACAAAATAAATAAACAACTATAAAATGGAGGTGAATATTTAAATAATTTTTTACAAATAGTTCATTCTTGTAAGTTAAGCTGCAAAAATGTCATAAAGGAAAAGCTGCCTGATTTATTTTATACTTTTTTTTCCAAATGTCAGGCAATAACTTTTGCTATTTGAAGAAAAGTCTCGTGAAAATGAAAGACAATTATTAAATAAAGAAACTGAGTGTTTTATGTTTGTTCTATTATTACGATTATTATTCTCAGATATTTCTTTTGGTTAGAAAATGAATAATTTGAAGTCGAATAATTTTATTCATAAAGGGGGAATAGTTAGGAAGGCATAAACTTGAACTTATTCACAACAGTTTGGTGCAAGCAATTCAGAAGAAGATTTAAATGTTTTCAAGCTTATAAAATATGTATACAGCTTACGTATAACGTATATTATAGCGGGAATCAGTGGCTCAACTTCAAATTACCGGCAGGCCGTATGCAAGATCTCAAAACAGCTGACACGCCAGAATTTCTTTTAACAATTTTTTTTTAATTTATTAACAGAATAAAAACACTTTAAATAAATTTTAGATTTTGGCTATTAAGAATTTTTCAAAACATGCATAAATAACTATAACAATATCGCGGATGACAAAAATTCAGACTTATTTTTTTTCCTACCCGAAATCTAAGGTTTGTTACCTGCAAGACATTTTCATTCATTACATTTTGTAATTCAAATATATTGACAGCCAAATATTAAATTTTTAGACTGATATCTGTTAGGAAAATTTTAACAATGTAAGGTACAATTTAATTTTATAACAGTTATTTTAATTTTGAAACCCTATCCTATCAATTCTTATTTTCACTAGCAACTCACTACCAAAATGAGTTTTTAGAATCGCGTTGAATGCAAATGAGTTAGAAGAAGTTATAAGGTTGTAAAGACATTAGGATTTTTTTTTAAAGGCCAGAGAGATGAAAAATTAGCAACCGCCTTCGCCGTGGATCGAACCACGAACCTCTTGAATACCGGTCCAGAGTGTAGAGTCACTACACCACGAAAGCACGGTAGGAAAACGGGAGAAATACCTTATATATTTCCCTCTTTAAAGGGCGACAGAGGTTTTTAGGGGACCCAATCGCCAAATCATGGGTGTGGAGAAACCTCATCCAACACTCTTTTAGTTCGAGCGCCACTGTAAAGATATTAGGTTAATTGGAAAAGACGGAGAGATGAAAAATTAGTAACCGCCTTCGCCGGAAATCGAACCACGGACCTCTGGAATACCGACTCAGCGTGCACAACTACTACACCACGAAGGCTGTGGTGGTTTGCACGCTGGGCAAGTATTCCAGAGGTCCGTGGTTGGATCCCAGTCGAAGGCGTTGCTCAATTTTCCCTTCTCCTTCTTCTAAAAAATACCTAATGTCTCTTCAAAGTATTTAAGAAAGATTCAACTAACTTCGATAGAGAGTGTTAGGAGTCCTTTAGTGGCGCGTGTTTGCCTTTCGGCTAAGTCACTCTTGAAGCTGTCAGAGTCGGTCGTATTATTCGTACCGACTGATATTCGCAGGCTAGTTTAATTTAAGGGCCAACTATGTTAGATAAATGCGTCTATTTTCGCCTAAATTTCTTTTAGTTAATTAGGCCCACCAGCGGCCGAGCGGTAAAGTCGCTGAACACTGGTAGTTCGGTCCAAGGTTCGAATCCCGCGAACGGGCTGGCTGCAAAGGCGTTTTCATGGTTTTCCCCCTGTGTAATGTGTATGCGAGCCAGTTCCACTTAGAAAGTCCACCACGAAGGCATCCCTGCTCTTAGGCAGATAGCCCTAGTGTGCTTTGCCATAATTAAATACACCAAACACCAAACCTTTTAGTTAATTATAGTTTCTTATTTTCTGAGTCAAAGCTCGAGTAGAGGTTTTCCTGTAAGCCCGAGAAGAGGCCAACTATTAGTCTGATTTGAGTGAATAAAAGGGTATTTTAATTTTTCTCGAAGTTACGTCTTAAATGTTTGAACCTAGCGATAAGTAGCTACATAGTTCACTAGGTTTCTCAACAAGGAAGACATTTAGACAGAGAATTGGGAATCTAATATGTGTAATTAATCGTTAAATAACTTACTTTAATATAAACTGAAAGAAATGGCGGAAACTTTCTTAACTTTTCAGAGAAAATTTTGCAAGTAGGACAATACTTGACAACAAATAATGAAAATTTTAATTTCACTCTCTCTCTCTCTTTTTTTAATTTATTAAATTCTTCTTCATCCGTAATAAAAATACATATATTTGTATGTAAATAATTATAAACTTCCTTTATTTCTTACTACAGCTTGAGGCAAGATCGTGTTTCGATTTTAATAAGGCTTGTATCCTTGGAGAGAAATTACTAGAAATTATCTTCATCACTTATTGTAGATGCGCCTCGTTTAATAATTTTTAATGGGCTTTTTTTCTTACTATTTTTAAGTGCGAAAAATGCTGCTGACATATAAATATATTCTCGAACAAAAAGATTATTCTTGTGCAAAATTTCGTAAATGATTTATTTTCTGGCATGTCAGCTATTGCAAAACTTGCTATCTGCTATACATAAGAAAACATAGAAGCACACATCTTTAACCGTTTTGCAGGTTTTGTTTTCGGAAACAGTTTACAGTGCTTTTTTCTCGAAAAATTAGGATTTTAAGCAATGGATAAAGCCAGACTTTAAAAAAAAATAAGTGAGAAGAAACTTTTATTTACTTCTTTTCGCCCTCGGTTTGACAGGTTTCTCCAGTGAAATATTAGACAGTTGTCGCAACAAATTTTCACGTTCGCCAGCAATATTTATGAAATTTTCACAAAATTTTCTTTCCATGCATTACGCGTATTCATGTCAATTAATGCATTTTAACCAATATTTTTCTAAAATATTATTCAGTAACCTCTTTATAATATTCTATCTAATTCAAAATCAATAACCTCCATTATTCAGCTTCTTTCACGTATTTTTGCAATACACAGATGACAAACGGAAATTCTTATAAATTGTTCTATAGCTTTTGGGATTTCTTTCTTCAACTGTTTTGGTTCTTGGCACAACTTTAGCCCCTATGGACTCAAAATCAGATTCATATTCATATCATAGTGAGTCATTTTTCTGAACAACCGTTTTTGTTTATGAAAGGAAATACTGAAATTTAACTTTTGAAGAAATACCATAGAACAGAGCGTCATTTTCTGCACCATATTTTTGTTTATAAAATTAAATATTGAAATAGAACTTTAGAAATTTTTATAATATATTTTTGGACGCCCAGGTAGTATAGCGATTAGGTGAGCCGACTACGTTACCGAAGGACCCGGGTTCAAATCCCGGAGAAGGAAGGCATAGTTGTAACTATCCATCCCTTCATAGGAAGTAACAGTGGACGCCTGTTAGGTACCTCCACAATAAAATGGCCACCAATTCCGTCCTTAGGAATGGCCAGTGTCAAAAAAAACACAAAAATAGCGCCCGCCGCTCGAAAAACAAATACACTTTTTCAAAATTTTGTAAAAATTTCTCAAGATGAAACACCATTTGCAACAAACGAAGGTTGATTTATCTTACGCTTATCGTTGTTACTGCCCTTTTGCTTACGAAATTCATAACAAGTTTTCTATAATATTTAACTTAAATCAGGAAATCTTTATTGAAGCAAGCAAAGAAATGCAAATTTATCCAAATTACCCGCTGGATAGCATATGTCTTACCATGAGTGAATACCGATTTCTTATCAAACGACATGCTCAGCTGAGTATGATCCTGTTGTAATTCTAACCTTAATAACGATAAAAAGTGTTACTAAGCCGGAATTAAGGGCAGAAATGGTGTTAAAAATCCAAGCCATTGATGCGTTTTCCATGCGAAAAGTGTGTGGAAGTATGAACTTAGGTGGTTCACTTATTAGGTTTTGGAATGGCTTTTCGTGACCTTCAACAGCTTTTCCGCTATCGGAAATTAAGTAGACAGATTCTTCAAGAGAATTATTACAAATTTATTTGACGCAATATTTAAGGTAACAATAGAGGATTATAAAGAATAGCTTTAATTCTAAAAACAATGTCTTTTCGATGAGCTCTAGAAATGTAATTTTATAATAATTTACTGGAAGCTATAAAATAGAATGAAATTATAACTTCCAACCTGTTCTAGTAATATTTAAATAAAAAACATAACCGGATCTCTCTGCACTGTGTAATTAAAGCTTGTGATGCATTTCATTTCAGAAGGGGACTGATTACATTATATACAGACATGTTCATGTTAAACATACTCTGAATTATGAAGTTTTAAGGTATTTTATATGAGTTAATCAAATGTTATGATTTACAATTTTAACTTTTTCCTTCATCAACATGCAAAATAGATTGAAATGTATTTAAAGAGGGTTTCCAAATGTATTTAAATCGAGGGTTCATATGCTCTTTGCCTAAGTCATCAACATAAAATACAATAATGTTTTCTGTGGCTAAGTAATAATCCAAAGAATAGAGGTATTATATTTTTATCATTCGTTCATGCGTGTAGCATAAGTAAGTGACCCTGAAAGGTACCCATTTCCGTTGAGAAGCGGAATAGTTTTCAAAGCTTTTGAGAAGTCTTTAAAGAGGCTTTAGGTTTTCAGAATTCTTTTGTGCTTCAAAATTTAACTAATGATTCTACATCATTGAAATATACACAGTCAGGTTTCGCACGCCTGTTTTTTTTTTTTTTTTTTCATCTGAGTTGATAGAGTTTTTATAGAGTTTTCCCCCCATAAAAATATTTCATTTTCCGGGTTTTTTTTCAATAATTTTTAATATTAAATACTTTTTTTTTTGTAA